CATCCTCTATAGGAAAGAATATTGAAAGCACCAAGTACTGCCAGGGGTGCTCAATACTCGATTGCCAGCTACTTGTTGATCGCAAATGTAGTGTGGGTAGACCGCATGGCATTAGAAGAATAGATGTGCACCTATCATCAATCCCGTCACTTAAGTGATATACAGCGCAGCCAATCAGATGCAATCTTAGGTGTCAAATGCATGCGCAAACAACTGCACTAAGTGCAGCAGAACCGACAAGCTAAGTTATCACCAATTACTTGACCTTGGTTTTATTTCTTTATCTTAAACGTAAGAAAGGGTATTAAATGAGTGGGGGAGCTGGACCAAGTAAGAAGACAAAAACGTATCACTTTCATATGGAATGGGAGATTTTGACAGTACAAGCCAACATTCAGCTGAAGTCCAGAGTGCATGGACAGTTCTGGAACTTACTCGCAGAGGGAAAGTACCCAAACATGAGAACATGTGCTACTGCCTTGACTGCATTATTTGGCTCTACTTATTTATGTGAGTCAGCCTATTCCCACATAAAGATCATTAAGTCCAAGTACTGTTCCACCATGACTGATGATCATTTGGAAGTGTGCTTGAGGCTGGCTGTCAGCAGCTCCTGTCCAGACTACGCATCCCTGGCTCATTTCCATTCAGTGCAAGTCATCAGAGTAAACTCAGGTCATGACAAAAGATGTACATCGTTAATTGTGTTGTGTTGTGCAATGTGGACTCATGTGGTTATGCAAGGTACATAAACAGACATTGTACATATAAAGAATCTCAACGCATTTACAAATAAATGTAATAAATAAATAAAAATAAAGATAAGTTTTGCATTTTTGTAGTTGGTAGATCATTTTGACTTGATCATTTTATAAGTAGCTCGCAAGCTGAAAAAGTGTGAGCACCCCTGGCCAGAAGAATAGACGAATATACCTTGGAAAAAATACAGTAGAATGCTCTGTTTACAGGGAGGAATCCATCCCTGGAAAAGGACACTGTGCTTGATCAAGTAGAGGTCAGTGCAAAGCACAGGACCTCCCCAAAATGGGCTCAAGAGGTTGACTGGCATAGTGGCTCTTCCCCCAAACGCTCACGCCTGGGAGCAGTGGAGAGGATGGCACAGACCTGCAGGGCTTCTTTCTGCTGTATGGCAGGTCTCTCTGAGTCAGGGCTAACTGGATGGCACTTAACAACAACAACAACAACGACATGTATGGCCAGAGATTATGAACAAAGTTGATAACAGGTGATAAAGATGTATATATGACAAAGGACTCCTATCCCTAATACATAACCACTTGAACTAATGAAAGGACCAAATTCTCAGTAGGAAAATGGACACACAGGTACATATAATGGATCCATTAATACACGAAGGGTTATTTAGTATGACTGGTTATAAAGTAAAACAGCAATCAAATGGGTTTTACCTAAGAGACTGACAAAGGCTAAAAATCTTGATAGCTCAGGGTAAAATGGTCAAAGTTTCAAATCTTAAAATACGGCCACTCTTTAGCATAGCAACTTTCTTTCAAAGTAGTCTGATAGGAATTTGATCATATGAATACACACAAACATACACATACAGCTACTGCATTCTTGGAAACTAGTTTAATTAAAAATAGCTAATAAATGTACTTTTCTTGATGATGTATAGTGAATAAGGGAGAAAAGTCTATTATAAAATGCATTAAAATAGGAACCTCAAAATATACCATGGAAGGAAAGACTTATCTGGAAGGGGAGTGAGCAGACACTTAACAATGGCTACCTGTGCATTGTGGGATGGCCATTCCTTTTCGCTTTCTTCTTCGGCCTTTAGTCTCTGAGATGAAGAAATAGCGAAAACAAACACCCGAACTTATCCGCCTGCCTTGCCCAACGCTATCTCTCCTCCCCACCTCCCTCCATGTCTTTCGGTCCAGAGGCCATCCACCTTGACTCTCCTGCGATCATTTTGCCTCAGAGAAGAGACATGTTGATACACAATTCTCATAATTCCCCATTGCCACACAGAAGGTCAGAACAAATATTCTAGGACAAAAATCATTCTTTAAGGTTAAAAAATTTTCTTTTAACTCCTTAAAGGTGTGGCTTTCTAATTGACCGTAGGAGAAGGGGATTGGTAAGGGCTTGAGGTGGAGGGGAGGGGCACTTTAACGATGGTTGTGTCTTGCTCAAGGATGTGTGGGCAATCTGACAATGACATTGGTCTCCCTGGATTCGGGGTTTTTTGGGCTGATCTGGCTAGACAGGCAACGGCTTCCTTTATCTCTCTCAGCTTTGTCTACACTCGAACAAGAAAAGGACACGCTTCTCTGAGCCAAGTGTCCGGTTCAAGGGTAAAGTTGGCATCTCTCTTCAAAATATTTGATCATATCGATGAAAATGAAATGTTTTGCTTGATTAAAAAAATCATTGTTAGTGTGTTAGTCATTCAGTGTATGGAGGACAATGGGATTCTAAGCACACGTGTGCTTAATTCTAGTCCCCAAAGTAGGAGAGGGTCCTTTTGTGATCAGTCACTTCTCTCCAGATAACATTGTGGTGTTATCGCCTCCATTTCTGGCACAACAATGAGAGGGTAACAAATGTTCAACAAATACCTGTTGGACTTAAGAGAACTTACGTTCAACACAAAGTAGATGAACCCTACTGTGTGTATGTTTCTATGTGGCATACACTAAAAGCAACGAGGGATGTTCATGATAACAACATGAGCAGGAAGAAAGTAGAAGGCTAACTACTAAGGAGTGCAAATTGGGGGGGGCGGATTGAGTTTTTATTTAAAAGTGTGAGACTTTTATATTCACTAAGACTGTTGGAAAGAGTACAAGTGTTACAAGTATTAGTATTCTCATTTCACATGAGAATTTGATGTTTTCCTTCTACTCATACCATGTAAGCCATACTAGATGAATCAAGGCGGATACTAAAAATATCTGACTAGTGGTAAGATACAGGCACTGACCAGTCAACACAGACATTGACCGCCAGCCCCCATGGCATTTATCCACCTGGTCACCATGCACTCTAGTAAAAAGGAAAGCATCCCCGGGCTGCAGTGGTTACCCACTGGGCTCTAACTTTAAAGTCAAACGTTCAAAACTACCAGCCGCTCTGTGGGAGTAAGATGGGACTTTCTTCTCCTGCAGAGAGTTACACTCTTGGAAACCCACAGGGCACGTTCTACTCTGGCCTATTCAGAGGGTTGCCATGAATCAGAATCAATTCCATGGCAGCAAGTTCGCTTTGCTTTTTATAGCACCAGGGATCTTACACATACATAGACGTACATGCTTAACTTATCATATCCTGTTGAGGACCAGTGCATTTCAGAACCATTTAAATTCTTTCAAAGCACTCTGATGACAGATGCCAATCATTGATGCAGCCAGGTAGGAGAGACTGGCTTAAAGGTGGGGATAGTTCCTACTTAAGTGCTAAGAATTTGCCTTTGAATACTGGGCTTTCTGCCTGTGACGTTCCTCCTCTGACCTGAATGTTATGAAATACCAGATTACTGTTTCCCCAGGGCACCGCCTGTGGCAGACCTTCTGCTACCAAGTTGGGTGGTTTTCACAAGGCAAGAATTCTACAGTAGATTTAAAAATGACAAGCAGGCTTCCTTTAGCTTTCACCTCTGACCGATGGGCAGCGAAGTGACTGAAGGGCGCAGTGATCCAATGAGGGTAACAAGGCAGAGGCTTGGCCCAGGGCAGAAAAGCCCCCCCTTTCATCAGTGATGCCTGACGTGGTCAAAGAACTTGACTAACACAAGGCCTGCTGCCACCCTGCCTCAATGAATCATGGGGGAATTCCTTCCTGTGTCCAAGTCGACGGCTCCGCTCTATGTGCTGGTCAGTGTTCATGGGCTTTGTCGACCAAGAAGGTGCCGGAGCTTATGGCAGCAACGGGTTGATTACAGGAGCATCACACGATTCTGCACGCGGCTCCGGAGCACTCTAACGCTGCTGCGGCCTTTCACGGGTGTCGAGAATCACTTTGTAAACTTGGACATGCATCGCTGGCTGCCGTTCTTGGGGCAACCGCACAGCCTGTGATTTATCTCAGTGGATACCATTAGCATTTCAGTGCCGTAGGCTTTTCCCTACACCTAAGAGCAGATCAAAATCCCGATGTGGTCATTTCTGACAACTTAAAACGCAATCTCCAGTAGTCGGTACGTGGCGCATGCTATGCCATAGTTAAAGACGAGGGATATTTACAACTTCTATTAGTGGCTTCCACCATTCGGGTTACTTAATAACTGAAAAATGTGATCAATACTACACCTGAAAAGATTTTATAAAAAAAAAAAATCCACATCTATGAAGGAGTACAGAACCCATCCGTCGTTTTATGGATGCACAGCTCTCTGGAGAGTGCTCCTGAGTGCAGGCGGAGGGCCTGAGGGATGAGCTTTCCATTAGAGGGCTGAGTGCGCTGAAAGAAGTGGAATCTCACAAGCAGCAGAGAGAGCTCCCTCTTGACTAGGCATGGAAGGGAATTCCTGCAGGCAGTATTTTGCGGACCTGGAGATCGCCGTGGTTCACCATGGGTAAGTCAAGCACAAATGCACATGCTAGTCTTCTTCACTCTTGAGGGATGTAAGCGACCTATAAAACCAGCTTGTCTATTCGTCTCAACCTTCTGAACTTTCATTCAATGACTCTGTGAAGGAGCCCTGGCAGCGGCGTTAAGGAAGCGATGGACTGGGAACCGCAAGGCTGGAGGTTCAAACCCACCAATAGGACCTTCAGGAGACTGATGAGGCGGTGTGCCCCTGTCAAAGTTTATAGGTTCGGAAACCCCATACAGGGTAGGCTAGGAGTCGGAATCAGTTCAATAGCAGTGGGGCTTTTATTTCGGTGATTTGTAAAGCTATTCCCAACTTCTCCCTCAGATAATACATTTCTTAACCAAAAACATAAGAGCGGCCAAAAAACACTCCAGCACCCAGATTCACAGACATGATAATTCTAAAAATGTGTTCTTACCTATAAAATAGGATAGGAGTATTGCCAGGAGCACCGAGACCCCTACAGCACAGAGGGCAGTACATTTCCAGCTACAGTACTTTGAAGACTTCTTGAATTTAAAAGCACTTCTTGACAGGGTGTTTCTAGGTAGTGGCCGGGTAGGCGGTGAATAAACAGAGCCAGATGCCATTGTGTATCCTGGGGTTGCAGTACTGAACAGTGGCGTCGTCCCTGTTCCTGTTTTGAATAGGAAATGCCTGTGGAAAAGGAGAATTTCATTGTAAGCCACACATACATTCAAATGGGAGGGCAGAGCCAGCTGTGTGCTAGTAATCCCCACCCACTCCCCTGCTCTTCTTCCCATTGACCGCAGATCATTTTAAAATGGGGAAAACATAGACATATTTAAACAACAACAATAACAACAACAAAACTCATAGAAATCATTAATGAAAAGGATATTTTTGGATTCTTCACACTTAAATATATATAAAATTGTAATTAGGTGAAGGTTTAGAGCACCAGTTACCAGTTCATACACTCTTGGTATCAATTCATGGATTTTGTGGATTCCTACAAGGTACCGTCTCTGACCCCACTTCCTCCCAGTGTTTTGTTGCCTTTTCTCTTTCTTTCCTAACCCTTGGTAATTCCCCCTCCCCCTCCCCCCTCTCTAGGAAATGCTGCTCATTTGTTCTCAAATGGTTGATTATTCGGCCACAAGCGTGAGTTCTGTTTCAGACCTGGAGGGTTAAGGGCCAGCATCTCAGGGTTTAGAGATAAGGCACAGATGTCTCACCTGTCTCTTTCTGCCCAGTAAGCCTCTTCTAAAGACTTATTCTTAATGTATTGCGTAGGCTGTATGCACACCCAAGTAATGACTGTCCTGCCTAGTAGGAATCTTGAGAGGCTTATGCGAATGGTCCTATTTCTTGCACAACCCCCCTTTGGAGCTTCCCTGTAGAAAATACCTTAAGACAATCTTCACAAGTCACATAAGGAGGAAACCAGTCTGTTATTGCATGGCTACCTGCGGACTATCATGTACGACTATGCATTCATCTAAACACAACTAAGTGTGATCACTGAGCCATTCTGCAGGTCGGCTTCTTTTCTGGAAGTCCATGGAAACATTCTAACCCTCTCCTGCTCTCCCACTCACAAGGACCGTCACGCTAGGCCACAGAAAGCTGGTCAGTCCTCCAGTGATACGACCTAATTTTACTTTTAGTAAATGGCATTGTGGGTAACATGTTGGACCAGAAGTTCAAAACCATCAGCGGCTGCTCAGAAGAAAGACAAGGCTTTCTTCTCTCGAAGAGAGTGCTAGTCTCATAAATTCACGGGGGGCAGTTTCGCACGGCCCTGCAGGGTCACAGGCAGTCAGAATTGCCTCAACGGCAGTGTGAACGTCAACCATAAGCAGGAAGGTTTAGCTGTTGCTGGCGAGGGTCCACAAAATACTCTCTGAAACGAAACCTAAGTAAATTGTACTAGAACTGAAATTCTGAGCACCCTGGTTGCAGAAGGCTTGGATGAATAGTAACAGTGAAAACCAAAATGCACCTGCATACATTGCACATAGATTAAGCCTCCCATGAATTCCTTAAGAGCACTAACCAAAGGTGTAGATAACCTTGCCCCCAGACAGGGTGTACTTACACTCCCTCAAGCCAGCCCAGGGAGGGGGCAATCTCTACTTAGGGGTTTGCCTGAGGGTGTCCTTGATGGAGATCACCATACTGGGGGCAGTGTTAGGGGGTCACATCATCATGAGGCCTAGCTGTTGTGCTCTGACTGTCTTGGATGGAAGGCCCTGGACCAATCTTTTAAACTCTTCTGTTTAATAATAATCTACTTGTCCCAATTATGGTCCTGTTCCCACTTCTGTCATCCCATCTGTTACAGTGATGTGTATTTTTCTGCCACCAGTCATGCATTTGTGACCATTTCCTTTATTCCATGCCTTATTTGATTCGTGTCCTGACTGTGAATCATCAGATGCCATTATGACCCCGTGCTCATGGTCTCCCTCCTCTGAATGATGTGTCTGTGTCTTTGGGCAGTTTCTGTCCTTTTTGATATTTAACAAATGTTCTCCTTGAATTATATTTGAGATCAAGGTTTTTTGTGTATCTTACAGCAAAATGAAGGGGTCAGTGAAGTTGATTCTACATCAAATATAAAGATTTCCTAAGCACGGAGCTGTACATCAATGGAGCAAATTGCCTCTGAAAGCTGTGTGTTCTCCTACCTTGAAGATACGTAAGCAGAAATGGAATGATCACATGATAACAATGCTATAGAAGAATTCTATATTGGATGCAAGTACACTGTAAGATGACTAGTTTTACAATTTCTATTAAGGTTAGGAGTGTCGTCTACCCAGACGCATCTACAAAGAAAGGATTGTCAATCTATTTTAAAAAACATTAGCCCTTGAAAACCCTATAGAGCACAGTGCTCAATGTCAAGAAGAAAAAAGCACAGCACAACTGGGCCAATGATAATATCATGATCGACAGAACAGATGGGAGTTATCAAGGATTTCATCTTGGATCTGTAACAAATAATCATGGAAGTAACAGCCAAGAAATCAAACTACTTACTGAACTGGGCAAATCTGCTGAACCAGAGCTCTTTAAAGAGCAAGGACCTCTCTTTGAGGTCTAAGGTGAGCCTGTCCCAAAGCATATCTTCAGTCACCTAATAGGCATGTGAAAGCTGTACACTGAGCAGGGACGACTAAAGAGGAATGGATACATTTGAATACGGTGTTGACAAAAAATATTGAAAATCCCATGGACCACGAGAAGAACAAATACATTTGCCTTGTAGGGGAGTCCAGACAGAACGCTCCGTAGAAGGGAGACGGCCATGCTTCCTCTCACGTACTTGGCACCTGAGAGCAGTCCAGGAGAAGGACATGCTTGGTAAAGTAAAGGGTCAGTGAAAAAGAGGAGGACTCTCAGCGAGGTGGATTGACAGGGACTGCAAGCATGGACTCCAGCATCAGAACAATTGTGAGGATGCCACAGGACTAAACAACGGTTCGTTGTGGGGTTTGTGGTATTGCTAAGAGTTGGAGCTGACTCACTGGCACCCATCAACATCATCCACGGCAACAGCATCAACAACCATAGTCAGTGGAGCCCCTGGGTGGTACAAATGGTCAGAGTGCTTGCCTGTTGACTGACAGGATAGAGGTCTGAGTCCTCCCAGAAGTACCAGCAAGAAGAAATGCTTGATGAGCTACTTCAGAAAAGCCAAATACTGCAGACCTTTGGGGGCACGGTCGAACTCTTAACATACATGAGGTCACTCGGAGGCAGAGTCAAATTGATGGCAGGCTGTTTTATTTTTGACCCTAGTCAAGCACTGTCATTAAATATCAGGGTCCTGAAATACCAGATTTCACCTATCTGAAACAAGCTATTCAGGAATTACTAAAACTCTGACTTGGTTTTATCATTCATATCTATATCCAACATAAGGTATATGATCACTAAGCATTAGCTATTACTCTCTCCAAATTCACTTATTGGAATCTGTATTCCAAAAGAAGAAAAATCAAAATTTAGAAGCTCTAAATTTGATCCGATTTAAAATGTAATGCCATTAAAACACATGTGTCTAAAATGCATTGCACATCTCACAGTGGGTCCTCCACGGGTGCATACTCTGGTGAGAGGCTGGAGAGCAATCTGCCGTGGAGTGCTCGGGTCATCTAGGTCAGTCATTTTTCTACAGAGAACAAGAGAATGAATCTTTCAGGATGTGCTGCCTGCATTGACTCAAGTTAGTTGTTAGCACATGCATACTGCCATAGACAACAGCTAAAAATGACTGTGTGTGTCTGAGTCCCCATGTCCCGGTGACACTTTATTTATGGATGCTGAAAGCTTCACTTCATATAATGTTCATGTGCCATGAAATATCCTTCTTTTAACTGACTTTTACCAACCACTTAAAGATGTACAAAACATCCTTAGCTCATTAGCAGTACAAAAACTGCAGCCGGGCTGGACATGGTCTGTGAGCTTGATCTAGATTCTCACTTCCTTTACAATTACACAGGAAAAGCGATCAAGAGGCTCAACAGCCCATAGTAACAGACGGTCCCTTTACTGCCATCAGAAAAGATTAACAAAACAGAAGAAGAAGAAGCAAACTCAAGGATGCATATTCACTTTTTGTGGAGAAGGTGCTGGACAAGGCATACGTCACATGGCAGTTACTGGTATCCGCTTGGGAATGCCACCCTAAATAGTAATGCCACTGAAGACGTTTCCAGATGACCGCCATTGCCTGAGTCCTTACTCAAGTGCTTGTCCTATTAGCTCAGTTGACCTTCACCATAATACAACGAAAGGCAAGATAACCCCTTGTAGTCTCCTCCAAATCTCAGTTCAAATATTTCTGTGCTAAAAAGGTGCTCCCCTGCCCACCTAATCCAAAGTTCTGTTTTTTAACTTGTTACTGTGTTCTGCCCACTTGGTTCTGATTCACACCCACACCTTGTGGCAGAGCAGAACTGCCTCATGCGAGTTTCTAGGTTGTAACCTTCATGGAAATCAAATCATCAGGTCCTTTGTTCTTTCTTGGGTGGACTTGAAGTATCAACCTTTGGATGCTCAGGGATCTTTCTGGTTTCCTTTCTTCTCCAGCATGTCACTGTGCGATTTTCTTCAAAGCACTGACTACAATCAGAGAGAAGCCAAGTATTTACTCATGTTGCTGGTCTCAGGCTCGGTCAACTTGCTCCCAGACTCCTGGCGACTCTCTGTACAAAGAACGAAACCCTCCCCGATCCTGGGCCAGTCTTGTTCTTTGGAAATCCTGTTTAAAATGGCGTTTTCTTTCTTCCTCCTGGAATTTCCCCCTTTCCGTCTTGGCTCTGCAAGAGCCAAGCAACCCTTTTCAATTCCAGTAACCATTTTCTCTCATTGCCTCTGGGAGAGATGAGGCAAGATGCAAAGCAGAAATCGCCCAAGTCTCGTGCTGGTTTTGGAATGCCTAGGCTACTGGGTGAAATGGAGTGGACTGGGTTATAGCCCAAATGTTTGGGAGAAATATGGTTTGTGGTAAAGGGGGTTTCCCGCCAGACCAGGAGAGTACTTTCAGGCTTGGCACAGTGAGAGAAACAGAGGGGAGCTGATGAGTGCAGAGGGTCCAGTAGGGCCCAGCCAAAGGCACCAGCCTCTGCTTTGTAAGCAGCATCCTAGGGGGGTGGCAAGTCTCCAAAAGAGAGAGGCTC